TGTGTGTGTGTGTGTGTGTGTGTGTGTGTGTGTGTGTGTGTGTGTGTTTGCTGACCTCTTCTGCGTATTCTCCGCTGGCCTTACAGTAAAAACCACAGTTGGAGCCAAACGGTGCAAAAGCCAAAATGCCGGCCTCCAGCCTAAAGGACAAATCAGCCCGTTTTTCCCACCGTCAGAAACCCTTTAGCTGGCCCCAAACGTGAGGAGGAAGTGGGGATGTGGGGACTGCATGATTTCTGTGATTTCTGATTTTTGTGCGGCTTTTGGCCGCAGAGAAAAGCGTTTTACAACAAAAACTTTTCAAAAAACGTTTTAGGTGTATCCTAAAGGGGTTGTGGGTAGAGGGAGGCAGTCTTAAGAGTTTAGGGGCTTTTACTGTGTCGGCATTCTGTTTTACACTCTTGTTTTAGAGTCGGCACACGTGCACAGCGCTCCATCAGAAACCAGCGGCTTTCTGTCTGATGTGACACTTAAAGCACAAAAAAAAACAAAAAAACAGGGACTGGGACATCCTTTCTTTTTGTTAAGGCCTTTAACCGACTTGTGGAAAAGGGGTTGAGGAGAACAAGAAGTTAACAACATCCTGAGTGAGGATGTGGGACAGAGGAGACGATCAGTACACAAAAAGAAAAGGGGGGGGACACTACCTCAACCTGGCTCACTTATGGGAGGAGCTCTGGAAGTGGCGTGCGAGCTGCTTCTGTCGTCACGGGGACGACGGGGCTGGGAACGTGGCCTGTGAGGCGGGAGGCTGGCTGCCTTTGACAGGACGCTCTTTCAGAGCTGCTGCAGCTCTAAAACAGCGTCCTGCTTTTGTTGTGCGACAGTTTGGACTCGCAAAGCTGTGTTTGTGTGTGTGTGTGTGTGTGTGTGTGAGTGTGTGAGCAATATCCTTCAATCACACCTCCTTTTAAGGCTTTCAAGCTGCTTTGGATCAAAGTCAGTCCCAGGGGATAATTCAGCACAAACATCCAGCTCAGAGACATCTTAGCCTACCTTCATATACTATCGAATTAAATTCACCCCGACGCGTCTCAACACCTGCGAGATTTTTTTGAGGAAAAAAGCAAACGGCCGCCCCCCCCCCCCGCCAATCATCTCCTACTGGCACCAATTTGTTCGGTTCATTTGACTTTTGCTGCTCGGTTTTAAAAAACAAAACAAAAACAAAAACAACTTTACCCTAACGTCAAATCAGGACTGGAAACTGAGCGAGTCCTAAAAGAGGGACATAAAAGAGCTCGTCTCAGAAGCCCCAACGGCACGGCGACGGAGGGAAAAGGAGTTAAAAACGTTAAAAGGAACCCCACACTGGCCACAATGTTAGAATAGGTCGACAGTACATTAGGTTATACGCGTCTTCAGAGTATATAGCAGTCGCAGCCACCATCCAGTTTGACGGAAGGGGAGGGACAGCAGAAGGGGGGGGGGGGGGGGG